GCTTAGGGAGAGGGTTATAGAAATGAAAGGATAGGTAAACACAGGTTCCAAAATACATTGCAAGCAATTCTCATGTTGAGATTTATAAGAACTCAAGCTCTCCAACCACTCCTCTAATACCTCTAACCACATATATAAACTGAAACTTAAAGACCTTTTTATTTGCTTTGTATACAGTTTTTCTTTTTCATCTTTTTTTTTTTTTTATTTGAACCAATTTTCACATAACTAAATACAAATATGAAATACCCCCACACTTATTCTTTTGCCAAACTCCTTCAAAGTACTTCACAAACATTTCTCATAAGACAATCTCACATTGCTCACTAGCTAGCTTGGAAAGGGTAAGGAAAAATGTTTAAGGTAAGGTATAAGGGTAGACATATCTGGTGATAAGAAATAAAAGGCTCAACATATACGACTCAAACTGGCAATCTAATGACATCATTTTTCTTTAGGAAACATGCTTATTTGGGCCATGCTAATGAACCTAATATGCCTCTATCCTTTTCAAGTTCATGCAATCAATGACAAACATTTCGAAATATCGTTACGCAAGTTCTAGAGATGTAATTCACATAAGTTCATCACACATGAAAGAATAGAAGTGTATGAAAAATGCACACACTTCCAATAGGCTCAAAAACTCACATAGGTTGTATATGGCCACTATATTCACATACGAAGCTTTAAGTCATGCTTTAGTTTCACATCAACAAGGCTATGTGCATTTGGTTTTTCAAAGATGATTAAACATGTACAAGGCTAACAAGAGAATAAGGAATTTCACACAATACATGCCTACTAAGTTCTTGATCACCGTTGTTCAAATTTAATCCAATTATATCATTGGGTCTAGAGACTAACAAAAATCTAATTCAAAACAATAAGGAAAATAAGACTATTTTTTTGGATTTTCAAATCTTCTGAATTTTTTTTTTAATATTTTTGTTTAGAGTAAATAAAACTAACTAAGAAAACAAAAAAGAAACAATATGAAAACAAATCAAACCAGTTCAAATTTTCAATTTGGTCATTTTTTTTAATCCTTACCCCCAAACTTAAACTGGACATTGTCCCCAATGTCAAAAAAAAACACAATAATGCATAAAATAAAAATAAAATAAAATAGTAAGAAACAAAATAAAGCATTTGGACTGAAAACTTCCCCAATTTGCAATAAAATCAAACGATGACCCCCAAACTTCAATTCTGCAATCAACTTCAAAGGTGGACATAACCAAATATTCCAAGAGTAATCATCCAAGGGGAGCTAGTTCTTGGAAGCGTACAACCTCCACATCATGCTTTGTAAAAGACTCGTAATATGGCTTGAGTTTATGCCAATTCACTTTGAACACGTTTCTAGTTTTCGTACTTTGGATTTCCACTGCATTATGAGGAAAAATATTAGTTATAACAAATAGACCAACCCATCGAGAATGAAGCTTACCTGGAAATAACTGAAGGCGAGAATTAAATAGAAGAACTTTTTGTCCAATGACAAAGCTCTTCTTTAAGATCATCTTGTCATGAAATGCCTTGATTTCTCCTTGTATATTTGACTAGACTCGTATGCATCATTCCGGATTTCATCTAACTCGTTCAATTGAAGCTTCCTCTGCCATCCGGCAACACTTATGTCCATGTTATAGGCTTTGATCGCCCAATAAGCTTTGTGTTCTAACTTTACTGGAAGACTGCATGGTTTCCCATAAACTAACCGAAATGGGGACATTCCAATAGGAGTCTTATAGGCAGTTCTATAAGCCCACAATGCATCGTTTAAGCGCATGCTCCAATCCTTCTTACTAGGACTGACAGTTTTCTCCAAAATTTGCTTCACCTCACGGTTTGATACTTCTGCTTGACCACCAGTTTACGGATGATAAGCTGTAGACACCTTATGTGTGATATTGTACTTCCTAAGCAACACTTCAAATGTTCTATTGCAAAAATGATTCCCTCCATCGCTGATGATTGCTCTAGGTGTTCCAAATCTTGCAAAGATGTTAGTCTTAATAAAATCTGAAACAACTTTTGAATAGTTTTGGTGGTTTTTGCTTCCACACATTTAGAAACATAATCCACAACCAATAAAATGTAAAGAAAACCATTTGAAGATGGAAAAGGTCCCATGAAATCAATGCCCTACACATCAAAGATCTCAATAATCAAAATAGGGGTTTGTGGCATTTGATTTCTTGGACCTAAGTTACCTATTCGTTGGCAACGATCTGATAGGAGCATATTTAGGCGACTTAGCTAGCTTATTCTTATGCATTTGTGTTATTATTTCTTAGTTAATGTCGTATTACAACTCATTTTCGTGTGTTTGTAGGTCCAAAGGGTTAAAGTACCAAGAAAGTGCATTTTGTTGCAATTTGGAGCAGTTTTGGGCACTATGTGGATAGCTTGTATATGGGCTAACATGGATGGATGAATTTGGAGTTCAAGAGGCTAGCAATATGATAAGAAGATGAAGAAATTAAGCTCAAGACAAAGTGGATAAGGAATCAGCTCAAAAGAGGAAACATTATCCAAAACCATATCTAACCTTATCTAACTTTATCCAACCTTATCCAACCTTATCCTATCTTATCCTAACCTAATCTTGTTCCACCTTAATCCTAGCTGCAAGTGCACCTAAAAACCTAATTTCTAGAAGCCTTATCTGACCCTAAAAGGGTGCCACACCCTTCCCCCTTTTATTTCTTCTAGAAAACCCAAAATCAGCCACAAAACACTTAGTTTCTAGAAGGCCCAATTTTGGACGAATTTCCTAAACCTTTTTCCTTTTGGATTCTGATTTGTTAGGCCTTAATCCTTGTGGAATTGGGTATACAAATCCTTTTATGAAACTAATTGGGCCAAACCCTCTCCTAAGTGGATTTAACTTGCTTGTGCCGAACCCTAGGGCCCTAATCCATAAAATCTGCTAAGTGTAACCCTAATCTACTTAACCCTAGGACTATATAAACATAAAATTAGCCAAAAATTCGTACCACCCCTTATGCTATACAGAAAACACCTTGCTGCAACACCCTAGCCTCCATTCTCATCCTCCATCCACTCCATACACCTCCATACACCACCTGCCGCCCCCTACCACCATGATCAACCATCCTCCATCCCTCTAAACAAGAAAACACCACCCAAAACCCCCAATTCCACCACACACACTTTATGCTGCAGCAAGGAGGAGGAAGAGAGCCAAGCCGTGCATCAAATCCATCTTGGAATTGCTGAGCGTTTAGGTGTAATCTTTCTTATGATTTCAATGTTTAATTTCAATACTCTTTGTTTTGCAAGCATGAGGAACTAATCCCCTTTTGGCTAGGGGGAATTTCGAAACCATGGTTATATTTGCATGATGATTTGATTACTCTCAGTTGTGATTTCATGAATGATGAATTCAATTTACTTATCTGGTTTAATTAAAACTTGTTTATGTATATGAATTGAGAGTGCACACTTAATTTGCATGCATAAATATGATGCTAGGGTATAAGGAAACTTCACCTCATCGTTGGGAACTTATATTCATGAGTAGTTAAGATTGTTGGTCACAATTATGTTAAGTAAATTCTTAGCATAAGTATCATGCGCTTTCATAGTTACGAATGCCTCGTCAATACCTATGATTTCCATAGAACCTAATGACCTTTGATTGTCTTTCTATTATGCGCTTTCGTATAGAAAACTTTTAAGGAATAATTTGATTGCAATGCGCTAATTCCATTCAATTCAATGACCTAAGGGAAATCTAAGAGTTAATTTAAGCGTACCTAATTAACATGGGGTGTTAAGGTTCATAATTCACTGAATAAGCAACTGAAGATTGTGTTGTATGCAAGTATGCCATGTGTGGAGAAAAACCTCCTAGCCATCTCACCATCCACCTAATTTTATCAATTTCGCCTAAATCTGCCTAATTTACATATTTGCTTTGTTTGTTTGATTTTCGTCAAAAACCAAATCCCCAATTGTCTTAGAGTGTCCAATTGGTTCAAATATATTTTAGATTGTGTTTTTAAGAGTTTTGAGTCAAGTTACAACCAATTTTCGTCCAAGTTTGTGTTTAGGCAGTTTTGAGTGCTTTTAGCCTATTTTGAGTCTTGTGAACTTGTTTGAGTCTTTTTAAGTGAGTCAAGTGTTTTAAAGGTCAGTTTTATTTATTTGAGTCAGTTTAGAGTGTTTAGCAATCCCTCATAATCCTCGGTGTAAGAACAATCCCTCCTTATTCATATGCTACAATTGTCAAAAGAGGGTTAATTTGTGTGTTAAGTTAATTTTCACATCAAATTTTGCAATGATCACATGTTGCACAAAACTCGTACGCATCCTTAAACAAACTAGGCCAATAAAAACCACTCTCTAACTCCAAAATGGCTGCCACATGCATAAGAATCACAAAAAGTTAGAATAGATTTAAACTTAGATTCGGGGACACATCTTCTAATCAATTGATCAGGGCAATATTTCCACAAATAAGGATTATCCCACTCATAGTATTTGGTGGTTTTGACAAGCTTATCCTTCTGACCACATGTAAAATCATCCGGAATCTTTTTGGTGACCTTGTAATTGATAATATTTGCATACCAAGGGTCAGTGGCCTCTAATGAAAACAATTGCTCATCCAGAAAACTCTCACGTAAAGGGATGAGATTTTCCTTCGTGTTTGAATGCATAAGTCTGCTAAGATGATCAACTACAACATTCTTACTCCCTTTCTTATCCTTGATCTCCAAGTCAAACTCTTGAAGCAGAAGTATCCATCGAATGAGTCGCGATTTTGCATATTTTTTTGTGAGTAGATACTTCAAAGCTACATGATCAGAAAACATAATAACTTTAGTTCCAATCAGATAAGAGTTAAATTTTTCTAAAGCAAATACAACAGCTAGAAGCTCTTTCTCTGCTGTTCAATAATTCAACTGTGCATCATTGAGTATTCGTGATGCATAATAGATGACATGTGGCACTTTGTTGACACGCTACCCTAGAATTGCACCGACGACATAGTCTGAAGCATTGTACATCAACTCAAAAGGTAAACTCCAATCTGGTGGCATGATCACTGGAGCCGTGGATAACAACTCCTTAAGCTTGTTGAATGCTACCACACACTCTTCATTCGTATCAAATGTTACATCCTTTTGAAGCAAACGGCACAAGGGTCTAGAAATCATTAAAAAGTCCTTCATAAACCTAGGGTAGAAACCTGCATGTCCAAGAAAATAACTAACCTTCCTGACAGTAGTAGGGAGGGCTAAAGAACTAACAAGTTCTACTTTAGATTTATCAACTTCAATTCTATTTTCAGATATGATATGCCCTAGAACTAATCCATGTGAAACCATGAAATGACATTTTTTTCCAATTTAAGACCAAATTAGTTTCTTGACAACGTTTTAAAGCTAGGGACAAATTATGTAGACATGTATCAAAAGAATCACCATAAACTGAAAAATCATCCATGAACACTTCAATTATTTTCTCAATCATATAAGAAAAGATACTTACCATACCATTGAAATGTGGCGGGGGCGTTGCAAAGTCAAAATCACTAAGGTACCTCATAGCATTGAAGATTTTGAACTTGACGCTTTCTCCGTCAATTTCCATGGTTAAGGTACCATCGTAGACATCAATCTTCGTACGTGCCGTTCTAAGGAATGGTCTTCCCAATATAAGAGGAAGTGCAATAGGCATAGGGTCATGTTCCATCTCAAGAAGAAAAAAATCAGCGGGAAAAATGAGCTTATTCATTTGCACAAGTACATCCTCCAATAAGCCTTTGGGATATCTATTTGAATGATCTGCCAACTGGATTACTAACTTTGTTTCCTTCAAGTCTCCAAGGTTTAATGATTCAAACACTGAATATGGCATCAGATTGATGGATGCCCCCAAATCACACAATGCTTTAGCAAACTCTTTCCCTTCAATTACATATGGACTGGTAAAGCTACCGGCATCCTTCAACTTCGATGGCAGCTTTCTTTGCAAAACAGTTGATACTTCCTCGCTTAATGCCATAGTTTCTTGATAATTGAATCTTCTCTTGTTCGTACAATGCTCTTTAAGGAACTTTGCATACTTAGGCACTTGTTTTATGGTATCTAAAAGAAGTAAGTTCACTTGGATTTTCCGGAAAGTATCCAAGATTTCATTATCAGTTTGCTCTTTCTTAGACTTCATAAACCTACGAGGAAAAGGAATAGGGACACATGAGTTAAATGAATTTTGAACTTCTTTACTTACCTTATCAAAATCGTTTTTGTTCAATTCTGTAGCTATATGAGACTTTTCAGTTTCTGTTGAAGCCTCATCTTGCTCAAGATTTTTGGTTTGTTGCTCCCCTTGCTCATTTGTATCTTTTCTAGTCCTCTTTTGCATCCTTGGCTGCTCAAAAACTTCTTTTCCACTCCTTAGAGTCATGACATTCATCTGCTCCACATTTAGATTCACCATAGTTTGGCTAGGCAACCTTCCTGGTTGGTGTTGTGGCCCCCATCAAACTTGCTAATTGACTCATTTGGCGCTCAAGGTTTTCAATTACTTTGTCTGTTTTCTGTTGATGAGATTGAGTAGAGTTAGCTAAAAAAGCAATTAAATCCTCAAGAGACTTACTTAGAGCTTGATGTTGTTGAGGCTGAAATGGTGTCTATGGTCTTGCTTGAAAAAAGCCAAGTGGACGGTTATAGTTGTTAGGAACAAATTGTTGTCCATTATCTTGATTGTTCCACTTTAAGTGTGGATGATCGTACCATCCCATGTTGTTGGAGTATGGATCATATTTTTGCCTTTGTTGCCCCTGAAACCCTCCTAACGCATTAGCTTGCTCAAGGCCACCTTGATCCATCAACGAAGGGCACATGTTCGTGGCATGTCCCATCATTGAACATACACCGCACAATTGTTTTGGAGCCACCATAAACTATTGCACAAGATTAGTCAAGTTAGCTAATTGTAATTCAATACTAGAGTTAGCACTTACCTCGTTAACTTTCTTAAAAGGTAGCTCATCTCTCCCTCCAAATTTTCGTGTGTTGCCAGCAATGTTCTTTAATAATGCCTTAGCATTTGTTGGTGTCTTATCCATGAATGCTCCTCCACTTGCTGCATCAAGCATTACACGATCAGTACCACATAATCCCTCATAAAAATACTGTATTAAAAGACGCTCTGAAATCTAATGATTAGGACAAGATGCAACCAAATGTGTGAATCGTTTATAGTAATCTCCAAAGGGCTCCCTATGTTATTTTCGGATTGCATATATGTCTTTCCTTATGCTTGCAGCTTTTGTGGCCGGAAAATGTTGCTCCAAGAATGCTTGCTTCACCTAGTTCCATGTGTTCATTGATCCTTGAGGTAAATTGTAAAGCCACTCATTTCCCTTAGCTTCTAATGTAAATGGGAATGCCCTCAACTTGACTTGCTCCTCATCCACATTAGCTGGTCTCATTCCCGAGCATACCAAGTGAAACTCCATGAGATGCTTGTTGGCATCCTTTGTTGAGAAGCCATGGAACTTAGGCAAGTAGTGAATCATGCAAGACTTAAGCTCAAATCCTCCTTTTGCATTTGGATATGTGATGCATAATAGTTGTTGATCCGTATTCGGCATTGCCAACTCCCTTAAAGTATGGTTATCAGCCATGCCTTCTTATGGTTCTTCTTCCTCTTCCGAACTCAAATGTGGTGGAGAAGATGGTGGTAAAGACACCGATGCACTCTTCTGCTTGATTTTTCTCTGAAGCTTTCGAAGTATTCGTTCAAGCTCAGGATCGTAGGAAGCTAGATTAATGCTCATGGACCTTCGAGTATGTATATACTATGAAGAGTACCTGAAATAAAAACAAAAACAAAAACACTAATTAGACAAGAAAAGAAAACAATAGAAAAATAAGTAATTAGAAATAACAATCCCCGGCGACACGGCGCCAAAAATTTGATAGGATTAAAAGCACACCACAAAGTAGCACACAAATGTCCTATTGATTTTCCTTATTAACACTAAGATTTGTCAATTGTAGCATATAAAAATAAGGGTCTTTCCCGCAGGACTGTTTTATCTAACTACTTAAGATGCCATAAAAACAAGGTTACTGTCCCTACTGACTAGCCACCATAAAATAATTATTAGACCAACTTATACTAATCTAAAGTCTACGAAATTTTATATGCAAATACTAGACACACATAGCTACACTCACATAAATTTTTGGGATTTTTGGAGTTGATTTGCTATTTAAATTAAATCGAACAAAAACATATTTTAAGTAGGTCACAAACGAGTTAGGGGAATTGCTATCCACCACCAAATAATCATACAAACATGTTATGTTTCATTCAAATTCCTTTCATTTCCGGACGAAGATGCTCAAGTTGGCTCAATGTTAGAACTCAACCTATTACTCTTTCTTATGTGGTATGTTAAGAGAATGGCGTTTCCAACTTAACTTAGTCCCTAGCATGCAATCTAGAATGGCGTGTTCATAGATTTAACAAATAGAAATCATTAAGAACAAAAAGAGTCTGAGTCATCACAAGGCATCGTAAGAATTAGCATTGTCTTACTTATCCTAGAAATTGATTCACATGTTAATCGCAATTAACAAATACTACTCTACAACATATGTAGGTCCTCATTTGACAAGGGCAAGTGCACACATATTCATAGCATCAGAATCCTAGATATGCTTACTAAGTATGCATCCGTAGAAAACACATAAAGAATTTTTCAATGAGACAAGTAGTGAACCAATTTTCATCCATTCATAAAAGTAATTCAAACAAAATGCCATAACAAACTTGCAATCATATTCGGGGCTTCAAAACAGCCCCTAACTACTAAAAATTAGTTACACATAATCCTTAAATAAAACCAAAAGAAAGACATGAGTTTGAGAGATAAAACCGAAAGAAGAGAATGCCAAGATTTCCTCCTTCCTCTCTTTCCTTCCCCAACGCAGCAGCCTTGCCTTTTTTCCTTCATTTCCTTTCTTTTTTTTCTATTTTTTCCACTACAACCTGTAGCCTTTTTCTTCTTGCTTGCTGCCATAGTTTTTTCTCCATAACTTACCCCACTAATAGCCATTTAGTGATAACAATAAGTGAGAAAATGGTAAAACAATTGTAACTCTTTGGGCAGCCTTTATGCCAATTACTCCCACTTAATCCTCATCTTTAATTCCATTTCATCTGATATTTGAATAAGTGTCAGCTGGCTCATTCTTAGCTGCATCAGTTTTGGCTGCTAGATTTATTGGATTTATTGCTTTCAATGCGTTCTTGTCAGTTACAAACTGCTCAGCCTCTTGGGAACCTTTCAGTGTTAAAACGGCCATAACTTCTTCTAGAAAAATGATATTAGCAATCCATGAAATGATCCAAAAAATAGACATCCATAGCTTTCCAAGCATATGAGTCTCATTCTCTAATTCATTCTGAGCTACTCGAAACTTGCTTCCAAAGTCAGTTGAACTGCACATGCAGTTTTGACAAATTTGTTGCTTAATCCCACTTGTGCTATTTTTCTTTTCTTTGCTTGACAAATCCTATAAAACACAAAAACCAAGTAAATAACTCAAAAAAATAAGGAACTAACTAAGAAAAAACAAGTGAATTTGATATAAAATATATATAAATATGAGCTTACCAATAGGAGCTCTAAGGAAAAAATAGCTTGCCTTCAACTCACAGCGGATTAGTTGCATGTAGGCACCTCAAGCAGTTCCTCCGAAATGTGGTACTCTGAGCTTAACTCCTCACCTTCCCACAACTGCTCACTTTGCATAACTGTTTGCATTTTCTTAACCTTCGGTTTTTTTTTTCTTGGGAGAGCATGAACCTTGAGATGTTGTTGTGGCAGGCTATGAAGAAGATTGTTTTTTTCACTCCACTTTTACTTTTATTTGTAATTTCCATTTGGACAGGTAGCTTATTGCCTTCCGAACAATGGCCATGGGGCCAATTTGCTTATTGCCTTTAGCTTTAGCTGCTAACATTGAATTTAGCATAATGTTTGTGATGTATTTAATTTTGCAATGACATTGGCTTTCTCTTACTTTGACTGCATGAGAATTTGTTGGATGAAATTTTATTTAGGTTTGAGACACAAGCTTGAGTTTTTGCTTGCTTTCGTGGGGAAATAGCTGATCTTGCCGCTTGGCACTTTGTCAATGGGTTTCCCTTGGAATGATGGAAAAGAAGTCGTAGCTTCTGTAGGGATTGATTGGCTTGCTAAGCATTGATTGGCTTGCTATTTTTAAAAGTTTTTCCTTGCTTGGCTTGATTTTGCATTTGATAGGCTTTGGCATGTTGCATGAGTATAGCTTTTGAAAAAAGCTTTATGGGTTTGCATAGCGTGTTAGCTTGGCATGTTGCATTATCATTGAACCATTGAGCAACTTGCATAGCATTGATAGGCTTGGCATGTTGCATAAGTATAGTTATAGCATGATTTGCCCCTTAGGGTGGCTTACTTGGTGTGGCCTTTCCTTATAGCCTAGGCATGATTATTTAATAGCTTGTTTAGAAAAAATCCTTCTAGTCACTTTTGCCAATGTAAAGAAACCAATGTACCAAAGATTTTGACAAAATGCTCCTTCATTTCATAAAATTTGGGGTACATCAAGCGTTGCATGGCTTTACAAGGCCTCATAGAGTAAGCAAAATGATCATTGCATAGAAGGAGCATGTTCTTCTAAAATAAGCATGAGCGTTTTAGCAGTAATACGACTTTAGCCACTTTGCATTGACAGGTTTCATTAGCATACCTTCCTTGACCGAAGTCAAGTAGTAGTAACCGCTTTGGTAGGCTTTCTTGACCACAAAAGGTCCTTCCCAGTGCAGGGCGAACTTCGAAGATCTGGAGATTTGCCTCTTTATGTGGTCGACTGTCTTGAGGATGAGATCTCATTCCTTGAAGTTATGTGGCTTGACTGTGCAGTTGTAGGGTCTGCTAACTTATTGGTGGTATATGATTGCTTTCCTAGCTGCTCCTACCTTTTTTTTTTAAGTAGCTTAAGTTTTTTCCACCTTTAGCTTGCGCATGCTGCAGCATCCTACTCCACATCGTTAAATGTTGAAACTCTTGCCGTGGGCATAATCATTTTCATCTAGGGAAACTGCTTCGGACCCAAACACCAGGGAGTAGGTAAAGAAACCTGTAGCATTCCTTAGAGATATGTGATAGGCCTATAGGACGTCTAGAAGATGCGTGTTCCAGCCCCCAAAGTAGCTATGTATCATTTTACTTAAGATTCTCAGCAATGTCTTATTTGTGGCTTCAGCTTGACTGTGTCCCTAAGGATAGTACAGTGTGGAGCAACAGTGATTAATCCTGTAACCATCAAGTGTGGCACTTACTTGTTTGTTCACAAAAGGTATGCCATTGTTTTTTACTATTCTGTAAAGTATCCCAAATCGAAAAATGGTGCAGTCTCTGATGAAATTGGAAATTGTTGCTCCCGTTGCTTTCCTGAGAAAGACTACTTCCACCCACTTTGTGAAGTACTCAGTGGCTACTAGTATCCATATATGGCATTTGGAAGCTAGATTAATTGTTCCTATTAAATCAAGCCCCCAACTATGGAATAGCCATGGAGTGTGCATGTCTTACAGTAATGTTAGAGGCTTGTGGATTAAGTTTCCATGAACTTGGCATGCATGGCATCGCTTGACCATGTTGTGCGTGTCTTCCTTCATAGCTGGCCAATAGTATCCTAGGCTTAATAGCTGCTTATGCAGTTTCTTCCTTCCTTGGTGCTCGCTGCATTCTCTAGCATGTACTTCTTGTATGACTTGTGATGACTTGGATGGCCCAAGCCATCTCAATGGTTCCTTATTGAATCCTTTCCAGTATAAAGATGCCCATCCATAAAGTAACTCTTGGTTGTCCCTTTTAATTTGTCTACATCCCTGACATTGATCGGCAATGTCCTATTGATGAACAAGGTCAAGTATGGAAACCTCCAGTCATTAATGATGGAAACTGCAAATCTATCTCCTGGAGAAAGCATGTTGCTGCATTTTAGACATTCGGCTTAGGTGCATGTGGCTTGTTGCTTCATCTACGGCCAGTAATACCCTTTTCTTTATAGTCAGCGGTAAAGGCTCACAACTTGGTCAACTTCGCATATGATCTTATAGATCTCGTGTAACCGCCTTTATGCTACTTTTGGGTCGAGGCATCTGGTCAGCATTCCTTCAAAAAGATGCTTGTAGAGTGTCTCTATAACAGTGATGTAGTCCTTAAGGCATTTGATGCTGAGCTCTCCGCTTGGCTTAGAAAGCTCCCTTCTGATAGTTTCCCTTCAGTCGTTACCTTCTGGAGCTTCATTCAGGAAGGGTGCGTCAATGGCTGGGGTCTTCCCTCTAATTAAAGCAATGTTTGGTTGTTCTTCGACGAAGGCAAGCTTGAAGCCAAGTGTGGCTAAGGCATCCACATATCTGTTGGTTGTGCCGACAATGTGTTCAACACCACCTGCTTGAAGCTTGCCATGAGTTTCTTGGTCATAATAGTGCGGTATGGTGCCAAGGTTATTTCCTTTATCGCGAAGCTTCCCTGGACCTGGCTCAGGACTAAATTCAAGTCCCCTATGACTCGTATCTTCCTTCCTCCCATTTCCCTAGCTGTGGAAAAGCCCATAATGAAAACCTCATATTCAGCTATGTTGCTTGTACATGAAAAGCTTAGCTTGAAGCCTAAGGCGTTAGCTTGGCCCTTTGGATTGACAAGTACAATACCAACTCCTCCTTCTGTGGTTGTAGAAGAACCATCGAAATGCATGACTCATGGCTCCTCTTCCACATTGGTCGCAACTATCTCTGGTAGCACACTAATGACTTCCTTTGAAATGGTGGGCTCTTCTTCTTTAGGGAATAATGTTAGCATGTCTACCACAGCTTGACCTTTGATAGCCTTAGGCGTCACACATATAATATCAAATTCGAAAAGTTGGAGCAACCAATAAGCCAAACGACCAGATAGTATAAGTCTAGTACCTTACCGAGTCAGACTTTACCAAAAGGTGCAGCTTGTGGACTAGGAAATAATGGTGCAATCACTATGATGCATAGACGAGAGTTAGGTAGAGGCATTTTATCTTCTCATAATAGGTTTCGGTGTCTCTTAGCTGTCAGCTGACATAGTAAATTGGTGCTTCTTCCCTGGTTGGACTATCCTAAGCAAGTAAGACTCCTACGATAGTGCTTGTTGCAACTAGGTAGAGCTTGAACGAAATGTCTGGGACTGGTGCCTTCATGGTAGAAATGTTGGTGACTAGCTGCTGGACTCATTAATAGGCTTCACCGCATTCCTTGGTCCATACGAATTATTTCCCTTTCCTAAGCAGTGGGGTGAATGCTACTATTAATGCTGCTAATCAGGGGAATGAAGAATTGAATGTAGGATAGCTTCCCCATCAAAGATTTTAACTCCTTTGTGTTTGTCAGTGGCATGAGGGCTCCAATGGTGCGTACCTTGTCTGAGACACTGGGAAGCCCAGTAACTTACTTGAGGAAACACCAAAGGCACATTTCGTAGGGTTCATCTTCAACCCATATGCTCAGCATCTCCTCAACATTTTCATTAGCACTTCCCCAGTGCCCTTCCCTAGCCTTGGATTTCACAACGAGGTTGTTCACATAGTCTTCCACCTCCTTCTCCATCATGTCATGAAAGATTGCCGTCAGTGCTCGCTGATAGGTGGCACTGACGTTTTTGAGTCTGAATGGCATGATTGTGTAGTAAAAGTTTCCAAATGGTGTGCGGAAAACCATATTCTCAACAACTTTGGCATACATCTTGATTTGGTTGTATCCACTGAAGCCATCTATGAATGACATCAGGCCTTGCCCTGAGGTTGAATCGATTATGATGTCTATGTTGGGCAATGGAAACTCATTATTTGGGCATGCTGCATTGAGATCTCAGTAATCGATGCATATCTGGATTTGGACAATGTTCTTCTTCTTTACTAGGATGATGTTGGCTAGCCAAAGAGGGTGCTTGATTGGCTTGATAAATCCGACTACCAAGAGTTTTTCTACCTCAATTTTGATTTTAGCCTCTATTTCCAAGTGGAAATTCCTCATTTGCTGTACTACAGGCTTAATCCCAGGCGTTGTGTTTAGCATATGGCTAAACACAACGTCTGGCACCATACTGGACTTAATAGTGCTAAATAGCACACAATGCCGAGTGGAAATAACCTTGGCACCATACCGCACTATTATGGCCGAGAAATAAATAGCACATTGAACTAAAAACAAGACTATAACTAAATAGCACATTGAACTAAAAACAAGACTTATGAATATGCATGCCAAACTTAAAGTGGATCTTTAAAAAAAAATTAAATAAATAAAATTACAATGATGTCTCTTAAAACGAATTAACATCATGAATGTACTCTCCGGTGTATTACATCATGAATGCTTTTAACTAACCGAGGTATAAATCATCACAAGTAAACATACTAACTCCAAACTTTCATATTCATCTTACAATGATACAAAACAGTACATGCAATAGCAATGCTTCCAATAGGAGAACCTCAATTCTCACTAGAAGCATAAATCCCACTACGTATTATATAACTTTTATTCAGCATGGAGGCAGGAGGCTCTCTGCTTGCTATTAGGAGAACTTCAATTCTCACTTAAACCACAAACAGAAAAATACACCAAAAATACATATCCCCCAAAGGAGCCTTGACAAACGAGAGTCCGTTTTATGTAAGTTATTCTCTTAAATAACATAATCACACCACTCAACTATATTAGAAGTATGGTCCATAGTAGAACTAGGCATCGTATCCAACTTAACTGGATTTTTCCCTCCAATCAACCTGGCCGGATTCCCAACCACCGTCGTCCTCGTCGGCACTTCCTTTATCACCACAGACCCAGCCCCAACCTTGGCCCCTTTCCCAATCCTAATGTTCCCCAAAATACAAGTCCCTGCCCCAATCAGCACCCCATCCCCAATTTTCGGGTGCCGGTCCCCGGATACCTTTCCAGTCCCTCCCAAAGTCACACTGTGCAGAATTGACACATCGTTTCCAATCACCGCCGTCTCTCCCACCACGAGCCCGGTGGCGTGATCCAGCAGTATCCCGCTTCCGATTTTCGCCCCCGGGTGAATGTCCACCGCGAAAACCTCGGATACTCTGTTCTGAATCAGCAAAGCCGGGACCTGCCTCCCCTGCGACCACAATTTGTGCGCTGCCCGGTGGGCTTGGCACGCAAGAAACCCTTTGAAATTCAACAGGCAGTGAGAGTAACTAACGCAAGCTGGGTCCCGCTCCTTCACCGCCCTCAGATCATCCTTCACGGCCCTGACCACTTCCTGATCGTGTGCGAACACCCCCATGAAAATATCCACTAGGGTCGCAGACGAGAGGCTGGAATTGCTTAATTTCACGGATAGATGGTGGGCCAAAGCACTTTCCAGAGAAGCATGCGATAGAATCGAAGTGTGATAGTAATTTGACAAGATGGGTTCATCATCAATATCGGAGCGAGCTTCGTCCTGCATTCTGAGCCATAGATCTTCATCTGGGTCGAAATCCTCCACGATTCTGCGCGTCTGAGTGGTTTTCGTGCGGTTCTGGTAAACGGATGCGCAGGAAACTTGATCGGAGAAGCTGCAGCGGCAGAAGTTCATGAATTGGTAGGGGTCTTCGTCAGAACTGGACCTGTTTGAATCCCGAGAAAGTTGGTTGGTCTGAGTATCGATGCAGGCAGCCATGGGAGTGGAGGGGTTTTGAAGATTTGAGTGGATATATAAGTGGGGTGAGAGGAGGAGGAGTCTGGGAGTTGAGAGAACGGGAGAAGCCTTATATAGGGCCCGGTTAACGACTGGAACTTTCATTTAGAAGAAGATAAATGCCAGATGAGGAAAGAAAGAAATATGGGACTTTGGGATTGTGGCGTGGAGGAGCGTTTGTACAATGGAGGCAATTGTACAAGAATCCAAATGTACTATCGCTTTCAGAAACACGTTATACTTTCAGGAAAGAATCATCCTGATCTCTTCCACAAAGTCTATCAAAGCTATAAATACGAAACTTTAAAATTTAATTCAACGATTAAAGTTGTTATAATTTTACAATATGTTTTTATATTTAATCATTAAATTAAATTTTAATAATCTGTATTTATGAACTTAAATTACTTAATGAATTTGATGGAAGGAATATGAGATGATTCCTTTCCATACTCTCATTCCTTATGGCCTTCCATCCCACATGCAACTAATTATCTTCGGTACTGTTATAAAAAATAAAAAATAAAACAATCATCTTTTGTACTGTTCTTGTTTTTGGGTTGAGATCAGTCCAACCAACCGTCCAAGTGGGATTTTGATTGATTAAGTCCAACTGTTTTTCCCTATTTATCCTTTTTGGTCGCTTTTTCTTCGCTTTTTTTCTCTTTTTATTCTTGACAAACATAGACGATTGTTTTTAGCAAATGATAATATATATATATTAAAGAAATAATGGACTTAATTTCATAATAGACTAATAATAATATGATTCAAATTCGTCTTTTACAAAAATCGAATCTAAAATCCTTCACTTACAAATGAGGAGAAATACCACTCTAAATCATGGTGGAAACATAAACCGTTACGTAACCAATGAAATCACACTTATCATACGTAATGGGTTACATAACCAATTAACCTTGACCAGACAATAAGTATTAAACAAAGATGATGGATTCGTTCCCTTGTTCCTTATGGCGGACAAGTAAATATATAAAACAAGAAGAAAGGCCCCCGAGGGTCAAAAGCATCCCACCCCCTCCAAAATCCAAACCGAACTTGTTTTTGAGAGGCGACACTTCATCCCACACGTCATAATCCCCCTTCATGTCCTTTTCAACCTTCGCCACGTGTCCTTCTCCAGACCTTTGATTAGCTTTGAAAGAAATTGTCCACATGGTTATGTTATGTATGATCACTTAATACTATGATCAATAATATACCTTCTTACTTGTAAGTAAAGATCTTATGTTTTATTCTGATCAAATATGAATTTAAACCATATTATTACTAACATATTGTTAGACTTAACACACTCTCCAACTCCCTTAGTATAGATTATATCTTTTGTTCAAAAAATAAATAAATTGTTTCAGTAATATTGAAAAGAAGAAAAATATTTGTTTGAGTAACACCAGTTAGACTAATTTTTAAAAACGAATTTATAAATTATATGCCATTAATAAAAAAATAAGCACGTTAATTAATATTTAAGTAATAATTCAAATATCAACAACTAGGTCTTATAGTTCACAAAATTTGGTTTAAAAATTTAGTCTTCCTAGCATTACTGAAATTGTTTAGTTGGATAAAAAAATTTGCCGGAAAATAATTAGAGATTATTTAATAGCTAATTGACATGACATTTTTATGCAATACCCGTAAACTCGACTTGAAAAAAAATGAATTTCAAGTCGAAACATAACAGGTAAAACCTTTTAACAGGTCAAATTTGGATTGGAAATTTAAAACTCATTGAGATAACAAATTTGACACGGCAGGATGGGTTATAATAATTAGTTTGACACAAAACACGACCAGTTTGCTAAGTCTTACACAATCACCTACTCTTTCAAAAAAATAAAATAAAATAAACACAATCACTTACTATTTACTACTACTATATTATTATATTCAAAATTGACAGGTTTAATACTACGATATTATAAGCTCGAATCTTGTTAATGACAGGTTTAATACTACGCTATTATTCTATTCAAAACTGAAAAGAAAATTTGTAGACTTCAGCACAATCTTATAAAATCCTCATTCTTTATTATTTTGGTCGGGAAGAGATCCTCAATTATTGGAATAGCTAATTATCTTCTTTTTTTTTTTTTTTTTTTTTAAGAATTGTTATTAGCACTCAAAAAATCTCATTCTACACTCCAAACTTTTTATATTAGAAAAGAAAAATACACTTGTGAGGAGTGTAGAATTAAATTTTTAGAGTGCCAATAATACTTCTCTTTTTTTTTTTTCTTTTTTCTTTTTTGTAATTCTTTAAGGATCAGTTCTCTAATAAACATATTAAAACCGATGGTTCATCTTTTTGCTAGCCGTCTTGGTGGTGTTGTTTTATTATTTCTTTTTTTTTTTTTTTTTTTTTGAAACTAGGATTCATTAACAAGGCACAAAAGCCAACCAAGAACAAGGAAAACCAGAAGACTAATAGACAAGGAAGAGACCCCTTGCAAACAACATGATACAAGGGAATACAAAGGACACTGCCACAGACGGCTACCACGTCGTCCCCCAAAAGCAAAAAAGGATAACTAAATATTGGCGGGCAAGGCAGATCATCTTTATTCAAGATTCTAACTAAGGAAGATGGGGGTCTTTTAACCCAAACAAAGTTGCACTTCTCCAAAGTCTGTCGCAACATTTGCTAGTCTTGGAACCCAAGACGAGGAGCAAGCTTGGAAAGACTTCCCCACCATGCGAATGCAACTGAGGATTCGCAAGATTTCCCAAGCCCACCTTAAAGAAACATCCTTCAGCTAGGATGCATGGACACAGACACGGATACGGGGATACGACACGGGGACATGTCAAATTTCTAAAAATGAAGGCACGATACGTCAGGTATACGGGACTTAAAATATATATATATATATATATATATAAATGAATATAAAATATTATAAAATGAACATTCAAATTTATTACTCAAGTTTAAATTTATTTCAATAAACTCCAAACGGTTAGAAAGATAGTCCATCCAACAAGCAGTTAGTCTTCAAACTTGAAAAATTACAATGAACATCCAAACGAAAATTATATAAAAAAATAAATAAATAAAATAAAAAAAGTCTCGTTCAACTTCCACATTCATGATGTCTCCTCCAATAACTAAAGTAGTCTCCAATGACGGTTCATCAAGTGAAAGGTTAGCCATTTCGAGCATCCCGACACTTTCTTCACCCAGGTTTTCAAAGCCATCTCCTCCAACATCCCACAATTGAGTAATACCTTTTTGTAGGTTGAGCTATTCCTTGATAAAAGATGAAGATTATTATGCACAAATACCAAATCCTAGGCTCTTTGTGGCGTAATCTTGTTCTTTCTTAAAGAGTGAATAAAACTATAAGTGCTCCAATTTGATTCGCAACAAGAGGAGGAACAAGGTTGTCCAAGTAGCTTCAACGTTATGGATTGGAGACTAGGTGTAGAAGCTCCATGGACAATCCACCACATCACTGGTTCCAAAAGAAACCTATCAGTCATAAAATCAATAGCTCCAAAGTCATTCAATCACCTAGAGAACAAGGCATACCCCACATCGATATTTCTTCTAATTTCCCCATTGGAAAAGTATCTCTCAAAGTACTTTTTCCTTTGAATTGTAAGTTCAACATCTTGGTGTCGAGCAAGACGACTAAGGTCTTCTTGGAGCCATTCCGAACTATAATACCTAAAATAAAAGAAATAGCAGTTTAAAAAAGTACTCATAAAGCTAAAGATTAATCTAGAAGAATTTATAAGGAAGTTAGCAAAATCATTACCTTGGATTTAATGAATGTGCCAAACAATGAAGTGGTGTGCTACTTTTAGTCCATCGCTCCAATAAAATGCGATACACCGCATGAAAAAAGCTACTTTTTTCATGTAATGCCTTGCGCTCCTTCCTATATATAGCAGCTTTCACCTTTTCAATCATAGCATCCCACCACTCATACACCAAGTGAAGACAAGGTTTATCTGTGTCAGCCATTCTAATAACCTCATATATTGAAGTTGTAAAGAAAAGAATATAATCAATCTTCTCCCAAAAATCCTCATCCAATATCTTTTGCTTCACCATCATTGCTTTAACCAAATCATCTTCTTTGTAAAACCCCCAATTCGGGCTAATCACCATTTGTTGTAAACCTTCCTTTATTTCCTTAAATCTTCTAAGCATCACAAGTGTGGAAGCAAATCTAAAAAATTTTAAAATTAGATGGCTTATAATTGAATAAGGAAAAAAAAATAGTGGAGAAAACAAACCTTGTTTCGGCTATGGAAAGTAACTTTAGTTTGCAATGTTCATTAAACATGGACAATCTCATGCTATGGTTCATAATAAAAAAAATTTATGGACCAAGAATCACTAGCAATAGTTGAAATCCAATTGCAATCATCATATGAAACATCTGTTTGTTTTGGAGAACATATACTCTTCAAAGCAAGATTAAGAGTGTGAACAACACAGGGTGTCCAAAATATATGGGGATACATGTAACAGCCAGCGTATCCCGTATCTAACATGCAGGGATACACCCCTATAGCATAAGGCACTGGTTGTCACTGTTTTAGAGGCAGACCAGATGAGACGATCTGGGGATAACGATTCCTCCATATGGATCCCAAAAATTGCACTCTCGTCAGCCTCAAAAAACAAGCTTTCAACTTCCTTCGCTCTCTACGTCTTTAAGTTTGGGTCAATGATTGTAGCCATCACCTGTGTCCTATCAACATCATCCCCCACTCTAGGAATTGGATGCCCATTTGGGATGCCTGGGACCTAAACGTTAGACCACATGTTAATCTGGTTCCCACTCATAACTTGCCATCTTACCCCTCGAGAGATAATATCCCTCCCCCATGATTGGCATCCATAAACGAATAGTGGGGAAAATACCGTTCCTTCAACACCCTAGCCCAAATGAACTCCAGCTAATGGATAATACGCCAGCACTATTTGGTTCAAAGCGTTGAGTTAAAGTTCTTCAAGTTACGGAAGCCCATACCACCATCTCCCTTTGCACGACCTATTTCCTCCCAGTTTAGCTAATGTATACTCCTCTCTTTGTTTTTTTCCCCCATCGGAACTTAGCAATTGCTGAATCAATCTCCTTGCACAATCTGTTTGGAAGCCGAAAAA